TTTCTCTTGAAAATTGCACAGGAGACGTCAACTTGATAGGGGAGAAGGTATGCCAAGTTTCAAGTAGATAGCATAAGCGATTCATGAGTTATTCAAGAAAAACGGATTGGGGTCGGATCCGACCCCCCCCCCCCCCCAGGCGGTCGCGGGTTATTCATCCGCACCAGCACTTTTCCAAAGGACGATGGAGGTGCTCTTAGCGGGCATCCCAGGGACGTGCGTCTTTCTGGATGACGTCGTAGTCTCGGTTAAGACGCTGCAGGAGCATAATGTCGCACTGCGAGCGGTGATGTCGCGTATCCGTGAGGCCGGACTGCGGCTTAACAAGGACAAGTGCGTTTTCCGAGCTCACAGGGTGCTGAGGGTGGTGTACCTGGGTCATCAGATCAGTGGTGAGGGTATCAAACCGACAGATGACAAAGTGGAGGCGATCACAGCGGCCCCGGAGCCGGAAAATGTGTCCCAGCTGCGCTGCTGGCTGGGACTGGTTAAGTTCTATGGGAAGTTTCTGCGTGGTCTCGCCACTACGCTGTCACCACTGTACGCTCCTTTGCGAAAGGATGCTGTTTGGAAATGGGCGGACGCGGAAAAGGAGGCGTTTCAGGATGCCAAGCGCCTGTTACGGAGCCCTCCTGTTCTGGCACACTTTGATCCTCAGTTACCGATCACGCTGGCATGTGACGCCAGTCCGGTGGGGATCGGTTGTGTCCTCCGTCCGGTGGGGATCGGTTGTGTCCTCCAAAAGACGCCGTCCGGCGAGCGCCCAGTAGCGTATTATTCGCGCACGCTCAATGAGACGGAGCGGCGTTACAGACAGAGAGGGCTTAGCGGTGCTGGCAGGGGTCAAACATTTTCACTTTTATTTAGCTGGCAAGACGTTCGTTATCCAAACTGATCATAAGCCCCTGCTGGGTTTAGTTGGCGACGGATGAAATCGAATGGCTTAGCTGAAAAGTGTGTGGGAACTCTTAAACGCAGTTTCAAGAAGCAGCAGTCGGGATCTGTGCACACAAAAGTTTCGAGATTTTTGTTTCAATACCGAGCGACTCCTCATACCACGACTCGCGCTACACCGGCATAGTTGTTTTTGGGGCGGCGTATGCGAACACCGCTGAACGCCCTAGTGCCTGATTTAGGTGTGACAGTGTGGCAGACGCAAGCGAAACAGAAATTGTATCGCGATCGGCACACGGTTGGTCGTCAGGTGGCCGTAGGCGATGCTGTGTTTGTGTCTGCAGTGGACCGGCTCAGCGGTGGCGGGGGGAGGACGTGGCTGCCCGGTGTCCTGGTGGGGAGAGAGGGTGTGAAACTGTCAGTGCGACTCAGTGATGGGCGTGTGATTCATTGACACCTCGACCGTGTGCGGACGTCTGGCCAAAATGCTTGCAATGCTGCCCATCGCAATGTCAGCATTCCCAGTGTTGGATATCCTCCCTCATGTGTGCGTGAGCCGTCCTCACGGGCCGCTGAGACGTCGCCCTCGGCGACGGAGGCCGAGGGAGACGGCCCGGGGGGGGGGGGGGGGACGTTACGCTTTGCGAGACCGTGCGCGGCTCCGTCCGCCTGAGAGACTGTCTTATGTGTAAAGTGTTGTTGGCGACTGTCCAAAAGTGTCATGTTTTGTCCTGAGGTGCAGGGATGTAGTAGATTGCCCCACCGCTGGCTGCGCCAGTGGCCCATGTGTCGCTATACCTGGCCCGCCCCTGACACAGCCCGCGCGGCGCACGGCCTGAGCCGAGGCCGCGGTTCAATAAACCAGTACAGAACGGACCGCCGTGGTGTAACAGGTCAATGAACTTGCATGTTCACATGCTGACCTCCGTGATGTGAGCTGTGTTGGGAGGGGTAGGGGGAAGGGTGTTCAAACGATTGTTGAGATTCCATGACAAAATATCGAAACGCAAAATATCGAATCGCAAAATATCGAGTCGCATAGTATCGAAATCGCAAAATATCGAAATAGCAAAATATCGACTCGCAAACCTAATAGGTATCGAAGTTGCAAAATATCGAAATGGCAAAATATCGAAAGACAGAATATCGAACGCCAAATATCGAAAAGACAAAATATGGAAAGCAAAATATTGAAAAGACAAAATATCGAATGCAAAATATCGAAAAGACAAAATATCGAAAACAGAATATCAAAAAGGCAAAATATCGAATGCATAATATCGAAAAGACAAAATACAGACAGCAGAATATCGAAAAGACAAAATATCGAAAGCATAATATCTAAAGGACAAAGTATTGAATGCAAGATATCGAACAGACAAAATATCGATAGAGCGAAATATCAAAAAGACGAAGGCATAGGCGGCACCAGGGTGGGATAATTGACGAGGCACTAAAACTTTATTCCATGACAGCTGAACCAGTGACAACTAAACCAGTCACAGCTGAACCGATGACAAGTTAACCAGTAAACCGCTGAACCAGTGGACAACTAAACCATAAGTTGATTCAACCCTTCCCGTTATTGGCGTTTCATTAGAAGGAAACAGTTACATTTGTTCTAAAATAATAATCAAACCTGATCAAACCTAATGAAACCTAACCCAACCTAACCTAACCTAACCTAACCTAATCTAGCCTAACCCAGCCCAACTTAACCCAGCCCAACAGCAACACAGCCTATGATGCTTTTTTCATTTCAAAGATAGAAGTGTCGGAAATGTCAGTGCATCAGCGATTCTTTTCAATATTCTAGTTTCAATATTTTGTCTTTTCGATATTCTCCTTACCGATAATTTGTCTTTTCGATATTTAGCATTCGATATTTCGTCTTTTCGACATTCTGCTTTCGATAATTTGTCTTTTCGATATTCCGCTTTCCATATTTTGTCTTTTCGATATTCTGCATTCTATATTTTGTCTTTTGATATTTTGTCTTTCTATACCTATTTTGCCTTTTCGATATCTTGCCTTTCGATATTTCGTCTTTCGATATCCTGTCTTTTCGATCTTTTGTCTTTCGATATTTTGTCTTTCGATATTTTGCAGCTTCGATATTATGCTATTCGATATTTTACGATTTCGATATTTTGCGATTCGATATTTTGCCATTTCGATATTCTGCTTCTCGATATTTCGCAACTTCGATATTTTTCCATTTCGATATTTTTCCATTTCGATATTTTGCTTTCGATATTTTGTCACTTCGATATTTTACCTTCGATATTTTGCGATTCGATATTTTGAATTTCGATATTTTGTCCGGAACCCTGTTCGAACACCTCCCCCCCCCCCCCCAACAGGGTGTGGAAATCCAGGACCCCCAGCGGAGAGCGGAATATGATGTTGCTCCCATGGCATTAGGGCGGGTGTCAAGGTCACCGGAAGGTCAGGTCAGGTCATTGACCTTTGATGTCTTCGGTTCAGTTTTTTGAATTTTTCATGTTTCTGGCTTCTGGGCTAGTTTTTGGACCTGAATTCACATTTAGCATTAATTTGAACATTTACGATTTAGTCTTGGTGCCTTCGTAACACGTTACGAGGCCTTCAGAGGCGGTTAACACCTACTACGAATACCCGGCAAAACCCTTACTAGTTGACCGGATCTGACATGACCCGACTTGGCCTAAATGCATGAAGACATCATCTATGATGGCATAACTAGTATAACATGATATTCGTGATCTGCACCCCGAAAAACCACATAGCAGCCATGCTATACGACGTTCTGATAGGTCCTGATATCCCCGACTTTTGGGTCATTTACCTGACCTGGAAGGTCGACCGATGATCTAGGACCTTAACCCTCGCATGTGTGCGGCGTTTGCCAGCTTCTAATGTGTAGGGGGGGGGTCGGTTGGACCCCCCCCTTGCCGTTTGGCCCCTGATCGAGCTAGAGCTTCGCGGAAAAAACGAGCGTGTTGCCCGTGACGAGAGGAAGCCGATGACACCCAATTTTAAGGTCCTAGGTCATTGGTTGACCTTCCAGGTCAGGTCAATGACCCAAAGTCGGGAAAATCGGGACCTGTTAGAAAGTCGTAAAGTGTGGCTGCTAAGGGGTTTTTCGGGGTGCTGATCACGAAAATCGTGTTAGTTTTGATCACAGATGATGTCTTGAAGCATTTAGACCAGGTCGGGTCAGGTCAGGTCAGGTCAACCAGTAGGCGTCGTGACGGGTATTCGTAGTACGTGTCAACCGCCTCTGACAGCTTCGTAACATGTTACGAAGTCACCAAAACTACTTCGTAAATGTTCAAATGGTTGCTAAATTCGAATTCAGCTCCAAAAACTAGCCTAGAAACATGTAAAACTCGAAAAAGTGACCCGAGGTCACCCGAGGTCACCAAAGGTCAATGACCTGACCTGACCTTCAGGTGACCTTGACACACACGGGAGTAACATCAAATCACATGTTTGAACGTTTGAAACCACGCAAAGCTTGCAAACACGCGGCTAGTGCGAGCCGACATACGCGAAATCGCGATTCCGGCCAAACATGGTCTCGGAAAAGAGGTCACAGGTCAAAGGTCATTTGGGTCAGGGTCATGAAATTTTCAGGGGAGGTGTCAAATTGATCAATGCGAGGGTACTGAAAGTTTCGTCGCGATCGGCCGCTTTTTACGCGAGTTATTCGCGAAAAACCATGAGGGGGTCCATCCGACCCCCCCTACACATGCGAGGGTTAAAATTGGGTATCAACGGCTTTCTGACGTGACAGGCAACACGCTCGTTTTTACCGTGAAGTTCTAGCTCGATCAGGGGCCAAAGGCGAGGGGGGTCGTACCCCCCCGTGTGCCGTCGAAGGACGCAAAATGACCTGTGCCGGCGAGGGTCGGGTCGAGGTCAGGACAGTGGTCTAATCGTGCGCAGGGAGAAGAGACCTGGGATGGAACTTCCACATAAAAGAAACGAATTAGGTTTTTTTACTACTCTGAAACGTCACGGATGTATGTATGTGTTAATGATTGTTGTGTCCTATCCAAGGAATGACACTTTCTGGCGGACCTGGGGGTGTGGCTGACCCGAGACCTGTACCTTCCGCTCAGGAGGTGCGTCCCCTCATGGACCGCCTGTGCGACGAGCTGAAGGGTCTGAAGGAAGCCGTCATAACTCTGACGGAACAGCAGTCGCCGCCGGCGGCCGGCCCGCACACCCGGCCCCAGAGTTCCGCGGAGCTGCGGGACGCGGTGCTGGCCGACGTTCGCGGCATGCTGAACGAGGAGCTGCGCCAGCTGCGCCGAGAGCTGCAGGAGCTGAGCGTGAGTCAGGGGGACGGCGATCCAGGCCCAGTGGCAGGCCCATGTCACTCCACTTTTGATGACATCATAAGGGGGCCTCAGGACAATAATGGCGCGGTGCGCCACAATCGCTTCAAAGCTACTTGCCAACAGTTGCCATTTTTGAAAATATTTTTTTGAAAAAAAAGTTACAAATAATAGAAATATTTTAATAAAGTTGTTGAATAAATCGATACCATATCTAAAAACTTACTGAAAAATGATTTATTCATAGTAAAAATATAACCTCGATGCGTTTTTACGTTGCTTTCCTGCAACTGCAGGCGATTTTTAAATCGTCTATATCTTCAAAACCGGTCATTTCTTAGCATATTGCTGCTCTGTTTTATCGCTAGAAAATGAGTTGGACTTTCCAATGACATCAACGGATGAGCGATATGTGTAGAGTGTCACCAACAATTTTCAAATGAAATTAATCATTTTTACGTTGTAAAGGAATGGAGTACCCCTTGCGAGCATCAGGGGTGACGTCACTCAGGATCTGTCTCTGATTGGTCGGCGGGGGAGTGACTGTACCTTCTATATGTAGATGGCCTTGCCCAGTTGGACGGAGCGCTGCTGGCCCGTCAAACCCGGTAGTGGGTGGCCTGTGCAGTCACAACAATGTCCGACCGCATCATCAATGGCAGAGACCTTCACTGTGCTGACCATGTTTATCTCACTGATCCTTGTTGATTTAACCATCGCCGGTATGTTGTGTTGGATCTCATCGCATGGCGAGGAACGATAAGTGTTGTGCATTTTCTGGTGTGTCGTGCTCCTAGGTAGTGTCCCGTTGTCACTGAAGTATCCAGCTCTGACACTCCTTCTGCCCATTCGGCAGCTGGAGGTGGACCAGATGAAGAACCAGAGGCAGCTAGAGGTGCAGGTGGCACCACAGCTGCAGCAGCTCCCCATACCGCAAGAGCTGTTTTCCTGCGGTGGCAAGGCCCCCGCCACGACGGCTTCCACCATCTTCGGGTCGGGGTTTAGTAAGACGACGCACTCTACCGGGACGGTCTCCGGCACGAACGGCGGTATCAAGCTCGACCAGGCGCCGTCGGCCTGGACTGGCGGTACCACGACCGGCGCCTCTGCTGCCGCCTCCACTGGCTTCAGCTTTGGACCGACCACAGCGCCACCTGCTCAGCCGAGCACGCCGAGCTTCTCGTTCCGTCCGCCGACCGCCGAGGGCGCCACCAGCACACTGGCCAAGGTCAGTCAGTCAGAACACAAACCGTCAGCCAGCTACGAACGATGCCCCCAAGGGCTCACTGCCTTTCCATGGTGTGTCAAAAGTGGAAATAGCCGGTGCGCCGTCTGGCAGCCCGGCAGCCCGCCGCCATAGGGAAATTAATGTTTTTTGTCGTTTTTTTCGCTCCCTATGAATCACTTGATCTAATTAGAGCTTAACTAGGAACGAGGCGGGTCACTTGGACGTATTCGGGAGCCGAATACGGTGTTTTGGAGCCAATACCTGGGAAACCCTACCCGCCCACGGCCCAATGCAAGTTTTTAACCCTCGCCCCGTTGGGGGGGGGCATTTTGGCCCCCCCCCCTGTGGTTTTTCCTGAATAGCAAAAAAAGGCGGCGCGCAGCGCCGCCAAATTTTCAGTACCTTCCCGGGCATCAATTTGACACCTTCACACCAAATTTCAAGCCTTAGGTCACCTTAGGTCAGGAGTTATTGAGGTCAAACTGAGGTCATGTTCGAGCAAAAATGAGCAAAAAACATGCAATCTTGAAACGCTCACCAAATCTACAGTTATCAAGCAATTTCAAAGTTCTTTATATGGTCTAGTAGACAAAAGGTTGCGCTACAAAACTGCTATCTCGGATTTTCAAAATTTTTGGTTTTTGACCCAAAAAAAATTCAAAAAATTGATTTTTTTAGAAAAACTTTGAAAAAATCCAAAATTTTTCCGAATTTTGAAAAAAAACCGGAATATATGTGATAGTCCCAGCGCTCTTCTATATACATACCAAATTTCAGATCGATATCTCGTTTTTTGGCCAAGTTATAGCGAAAAAAACTGTTCAAAAATGATGACGTCAAATTTTTGAACTCAATTTTTAGCAATTCTAGACCTTGTACGGCAAAACAAAAACCACCATTGAACTCCCCGTGTCGAGCTGCATCGATTCCATACCCATTTTATGCAAAAATATTAACTTTGAAATTTGACCTAATTTGACCTGACCTTGACCTGACCTTGACCTGACCTTGACCATCACGTGATCTAAGCTGGCCCCAAAGGCTGCCTGACCCATATAATCGCATTTGTCATGTAAAATGGACCATAAAACATGTATCACACGACACTTTCATATTGTGACCTCCCCGTGACCTGACCTCTGTGACCTGACCTGGTATCAGTGACCTCAAATAGCAAAATATGTGTTTGAAGAACATTTCCCCATCGATTATTTTCAATGAAATGCATTTTACTCGATTTTACAACGCATTTCTTGAAGTGCCTGTAAACGGTGAAAATTGGACCTTTGACCTGACCTGTGACGTCATCGGTTTGACCTAGGTCAATAAAATTGGGTCACAAGGTAGTTCCCCGTTGGGGCTATCCAACGCCGTTTACCGCTTGTCGCTATGTTGCGTGGTTCTCGAGATCTTAGGGGGGGGGGGGCCAAAATGGCCCCCCCCCAACCGGGCGCGTTGCTCGGCAGAGCCCAACGGGGCGCGGGTTAAGAGTCTGCATGCCCAAATTAACGTTGAGCGCGGCCGTTTTCGGTCGGTTTTCCCCGACTTTGTGGCGAAATCGCCTTATTTATTCAACCAGGGTGGGCTAATTCGCTTAACTAGGAATGAGGCGTTGAAGAGAATTCATGGGTGAAACTTTGACATCACCATTGGGGTACCAAACGTCCAAGGGGGCCTCCATTTAGTGGGGGCCTCCAATTGCGGAAGCGGTAATTTACGAACCACGCCAGGGCCTCTTCTAAGAAATTTTCATTGGGGGACCAGAGGCTCAGAAGCCAAACCTGGGGTACCCCCAAATCCAGTTTTCTCATCGGATTTAGGCCACTTATTTTTCGTCACAGCTCTGATGCCATTATTTATTTTTTTGAATATTGATAAAGAAATGGTAGGTCACCTGACCCTACTGGTGGATTCAGGCCAGCAGGGTGACATTGTATGTAAATATCCCCCGCGGCATCCGAAATCGACGAAAGTTTCTGGCTTTTTCACTATTGACAATAAAACACAATGCCTTTATTATAGAAAAACATTAACGGCACAGTATTGCGCAAGGAATCTAGCCGTAAGCCGACCCCAGAAAGTGTGAGGGTTAACCTTCGCCCGCACCTGGGGGGAGGGTCGCCACCCCCAAGTTAGTTTTTCTGCTCTACACTTAACATTTTTAAAGCTAGAAACCTGATTTTTTTTGTATAGCTGCTTTTCTATCTTTTCTCAGCGTCCATTGAAAATTTCAAGTTTCTGTGGCTTTTGGGTTTGAAGATATGACCTTGTTCTTCAGGTCATGTCATGTCCTAAATGACGAATACCCAATATCTTGCGATGGCTATGGGCCTTGTGAGCTTTTGACACGCTGATTTCGGCTTTTTTTTGCCAGTCTTACCTCCCACCTATCATTGAACATGTTGTTCTGCGATGTACAGATGTCAGGGTCAGGGTCAAGGTCAACCTAGGTCATCTAAAATTATTGCGCTTTAGGCAAGCTGAATTAACCCGCGACCTGGTGGGGGGGGGCTATTTTTTGCCCCCCCCCCCTCCAGACTTTTCGATATATCTCCAGAACCACTGCGCCGATCGTCACCAAACTTTCAGTACCCTCCCGGACATCAATTTTACACATTGTGACCAAAAATTTTTCCAAAGGCTATGATAGGTTGGCCGTAAATGACGTCAGAGTGACGTCATGTTCTGCCGTTTTCGACCCAAAAAAGGGTTTCGCGGGAAGAGCTGTCAGGCCTATAGCTTTGCAAATACAGAAACATGATACGAACATAAAAGCTGTAGAATAGACAGGGCTACAAAACTGCTATCTCGGATTTTTGAAATTTTTGGGTTTTGACCTACAAAAATCAAAAAAAAAATTTTTTTGAATATAATAGCCAAAAAATCCAAAAAGTTTCTTGAATTTCGAAAAAAAAACGGAATATATGTGATAGTACCTACCGCCTTCTATCTACATACCAAATTTGAGATCGATACCTCTTTTTTCGGCCAAGTTATAGCGAAAAAACTGTTCAAAATTGATGACGTCAAATTTTCAAACTCAATTTTCAGCAATTTTAGACCTCGTAGCGCAAAACAAAGACCACCATTAGACTCCCCGTGACGAGCTGCATCGAATCAATACCCATTTTATGCAAAAATATCAACTTTGAAATTTGACCTTTTTTGACCTGACCTTGACCTGACCTCCACCAGAAAGTGACCTAAACCGTACCTGATGGTCTTATAACCAACACCATTGAGTTGGAAATGAAAAACTGGCCATAAAACATGCATCGCACAACCTTAGTAAAGTTGGGTTCATGTGGTGACCCTTGGTGACCTTTGGTGACCTGACCTGTGACCTGACCTGGTATGACCAGTGACCTCTAACAGCAACATATCTACTAGGCAACTGACGCCCTATCGCTGATTCCCGACAAAATGCGTTTTCCTCGGTGTTATAGCGCATTCCCTAGAAGACCCGTGAACGGTGAAACATTTCATCTTTGACCTGACCTGTGACGTCATCGGTGATCCCGAGGTCAATAAAATTTGGTTTCCTTCGACAAATTTGACAGGCCTTTCGAACGCCGTTTGAAATTTGCGGATCCGTCCAGTAGTTTCGGAGATACGAGGGGGGGGGCAAAAAATAGCCCCCCCCCCCAACAGGTCGCGTTATAAACAGACCCCACCAGGGCGCGGGTTAACTTTTCGTGAAATTTCTTTGACTGTATGTTTAGTAAAAGCTTCTCAGTTCATGATCAAGTGTAATAGGGACACACAAACCGATCTGTGCGCACATCAGTACATACACAGACATACAAACACATATCATTGACCTTGACCTAACTTGACGTGAAATGACCACAGCCAGCAAATTAGTCGGATAGTGTGACAAAGAGCTGTTCTAGCTGGCTTGGCACTAATACGGCAGCGTCATCGGTATATGATGGGTTGGCCTGCTGCTTGTGTAGGTATCTTATTCTACATCACCACAATTTTTTCTTACAAGATTTTAAGCCTTGCGGTCAAGAGCAACAGATTCTTTGGGAAGAGACGAATCCAATGATACCAATTTTACCTCATCAGGTCAGTCATTGACCTTCCAGGTCAGGTCAAACTAAAGAATGTTGCTGTTTGGGGTCACCGTTGCCCGTTGGAATTTTTTTTTTTTGTCTTCTTGTCACTCATGTACTGTGCTAGTGTAGGCATTGCGCATTACACACACATAATTCATTCATGTATCATCCTGTCACTCATGTACAGTTCTAGCGCAACAAAGGTTCAAACATATGGTGGGAGCACCGAGGGATCCCGTCCCGCCCCGCATCGCCCCGCGAATTACACGCCTATCCGACGCCGATGGGGCGATGCCCCAGGCCGCCGGCCGGGCCCGCGACCCGTCACCGTGATAGGGTGGCGAGCCGCGCGCCCGGCCGGCCGGCCGACCCTTTATAGAGCCGGCCTCCGGTTAGCGTCCGTTGGAATATAACGTGCGCTGCTCATCATATACCGATGACGCTGCCGTATTGTGGTGCCAAGCCAGCTAGAACCTCTTTGTCACACTATCCGACTAGGTTTTTGCTGGCTGTGGTCATTTCAGGTCAAGTTAGCTCAAGGCCAATGACATGTGTTTGTATGTGTGTGTGTGTGTCTGTGTGTATGCTGATTGTGCACCGATTGTGAATGTGTCCAATGTCCATATTACATGAGATCATGATCTGAGAAGCTTTTACCAAAAATACAGTCAAAGAAACTTCACGAAAGTAAATTCAGCTTGCCTAAAACGCAATATTTTTAGACGACCTAGGTTGACCTTGACCCTGACCCTGGCATCTCTACATCATTGAACAACATGTTCCATATGTGGGAGGTAAGACTGACAAAAAAGGCCGAAATCAAGGTGTCAAAAGCTCACAAGACCCAACGCCAACGCAAGATTTTGGGTATTTGTCATTTTTGACATTACCTGAAGAATAAGGTCATATCTCCGAAACCAAAAACCACAGAAACTTTAA